TTCTTATAGTGGTATTTCATAATTATTAAAGTATTAGAACATTAAGAAGATAATGCATTGAATGTACTTATTCAAATACTGAGTGATAATTGATTATTTTTATTTTGTCATTTTGAACATAAAAATATTTCTTTTGATGAAAAGACACATAGATTAATCAAAATTATAATGATTATGAAGATTATATGAATTAGATGGAGAATTATAAGAACAAGAAAATGAATTATTATAAAATATCTACATATGAAATAAATAAAGAAGAGAGGTTCAAAGAATAAACAAAAGAAAGTATTATATACAGAAATAAAAGAAGAAAGAAGATAGTAATTTAATACCAATAAGAGATTGCATGTTAAAACATTAATTTAAATATATAGAATAGATAAAGAAGAAGTGATAATGATTTATTAAAAGAATAGAAAGTATTAAAATGAAATTGAATTATATGATTTATATAATAAAATAAGAATTAATCATAAATATTTGAAAGGTAAATAAATAATGAATAAAACAGAAATAGATGATAAAGAAATAAATTAAAAAATGAAGAAGAATAACATATCAGAAATAGAAGAATAAGAGATTATAGTGAATTTCAATTAATTTTATAGAAAAATAAAAAGAATGAAGAAAAATAAATTTAAAATAATGAACGAATTTGTATTAAATAATAAAATATACAAATATTATATAATGATACAAGAAAAATGGATTTATTAAATAGTATAAGTTATCAATTATGTATAAAAATAATAATAAATGAAAATGTATTTATTGTAATTAATTTATAACACAAATACATTTACCTGATGAATATGATAAAATAGAAATAAATTAATAAAAATACATGATATAGTGATTAGAGCAATATTGAAAGAACATAGAGAACAATTAGTAATAAATTGTGCTGGAAAGCTTGCCAGAACAATTAGTAATAAATATGATTATAATAAATTGAATAATTCAGTTATATAAAAATGATTTTTAGAAATAAATAAATCAATAAAGGTTTATGAGAAGAGGTTAGTGAAAGGAATATAAAACAGATAATACATATTATTAAAAAAGAATTAATAATAATAGAAATATCAATTTATCACGATTCTTGTAGAAGTTTGAATAAAAAGAAATAGAAATAACTATTTATATAAATAAAATATATAAACAGATATATTGTATGTTTTTACAACAATTAATATACTTGTAAAAACAAATATAAGAAATAAAAATTATAATAGAATAAGTAAAATAAACGAAAGAACTATTACAATTTGAAACAGAATAAATAATAATAATAATAAATATAACACACATTAAATAATACAAATTAAATATATTTCAATTAAAATTTGCATAAATTTGAACTATTTTAAATTAATTGATGTTTGTTTTATTTATAACTTACTTATTATAGTAATATAATACATCATATTTACTATATTGTACTTGCTCATTAGATTAATGTAATTATTTAAATAATAAACTAAACAACAATAAATATAGTAATGAAAGAAAATACAATAAATTATAAATTAAAAACAAATGATGATAATTTAATGTAAATAAAATTATAAACATAAAATGAAATAAATAAAATCACAAATCAAATATAATAATTAATAAAATAAATACAAATAACCAATAAAATAAGATAATAGAATAAAGAATAATCAATAACAATTCATCATTCATTAAATATAAATAATTTATAATAGTTAATATATTTATATTATTATAAATGAAATTGAATTAAAATTTAAATATAATAAATATATAACATAAAATAAGAGAATATAAAGAAGAATATAATAATAAAATAAGATATATTCATTCTTATTATTTATTATATTTTATTTATATTTTATTTTGTATTGATTTTATTTTATATTCTTTTTTATTTTTATATTTCAAATAAATAATAATGAATAAAAATTATTTCATTTCAATTACAATGATTCGTTGTGGTATGAAACGATCTGGATATTGTTTTCCACAAAGTGCATTTGATATTCCTTTATATGAAAATGACCATTGATTACAATATGATATTGTTTTATTATTTTCTTTACCAATAACGATATCATGTTCATATTGTCCAAATGCAAACAAACAATTATCTGATTGATTATTTAACCAAAATGCATGTTGTGGTTGTTTAATATCAAATTTCATCATTCCATCGATTCTTCCATTTGATTCTAATGAAAACAAAAATGAGTTTGGATCATATATAAAATCTCTAACTTTATCAATTTTCACATTAACATATCCTCCAAATTTATTTCCATATTCATCTTCAATAATAATTATTATATGTTCTTTATTTATTATTCTATATCCAAACGTTGATGTATTTTCATTCCAGTTATCAATATCTGAATCAAACAGTATATTTCCTATTTTTCTACTTGTCCATTCTTCTAGTTGTTTCATTCCTTCAATTGTGATCATTCCTTTCATACTTTTTAATTTCTCTTCTTCTTGTTTCTTTCTTTCTTCTTCTTTTTTCTTCTTCCTCTCTAAATAATCACTATAATGTGTTTCCCATTCTTCTTTCTTTTTATTAAATCTTATTTTAATAATGTTAATTTCTTCTTCTAATTTTTTAATTTTATCTTCCATATCCATTTCTTCCATATGAATGATTTTGTCTATTAGTTCATTCTTAGCTTTATTAACTGTTTCTGAATCATCATTACATTCTTCTATTATTTTGTTCATTTTATTTTTAATTATTTCTATTTTATTAATTGTTTCTTGTCCTTTTTCTATTACCACTTTTCTTCTTCTAACTACTTCATCAATTCTATCAAATATTCCTTCTCCTCTTTTAATTGCTTGTTCATATGTTTCATTATCTTGTTTCTCAAATATTTCATTTTTAATACTTCCTAAATAATATTGATATTGTTTATTAGTATCATCAATTGATTGTTGAATATTTGGAAGTGTTTCCACTATTTCTTTAATTAATTGGTTACTCATCACTGATTCCATTTTAATTTAATAAATATCAGATTAAAATAAGAAGATTAAATATAAATACACATTTATAACACATTATTTTATTTATTATTTTATCATTATATTATTTTATTCCATATTTTCACATAATAAAATGTGAAATAAAATAATTTATTTTTAATCTTCAGTTTTCTAAAATATTATAAAAAACGAAAAATCAAAACTAAAAAATAAAATGAACAAACATCAAAAAAGATATAAATTAGTTGTATTTGGAGCATCGAGAATTGGTAAAACTAGTACTATACTTCAGTTCATTGGTGGTAGATTTATTGAGACATATCAACCGAGTGGAGATGAGACATATCAAAAGACAATTCAAATTGATAATAAAAGAGTAGAAATAGATATCAGTGATGTTTGTGTTAGCGAAGAGTCTAAAGGATCAACTCATTACTATATAAGAACTCGAGATGGATTTATATTAATGTATTCGATTACTTCAAGATATTCATTTGACTTAATACAAGATATTCATAATGAAATTTATAGAATAAGAGATAAAGAAATGAACGAACACATCCCATGTATCATTGTTGGAAATAAAAGTGAGTTAACCGAGGAAAGAGAAGTTGGAACAGAAGAAGGAATGAAGTATTCAGAAAGTGTTCGATGTCATTTTATTGAAAGTAGTGCTAAAAGAAATGAAAACATTAATGAAATATTTGAAATAATTACAAAGGATGTTATTAAATATAAAGAAAATAACAATCAAATAGAATCATCTAACGAAGAAATAAAACAAAAAGGATGTTTTATTGTTTAAATTATAAACATTAATTGAAATAAAGATATTAACAAATAATGTTTTAAATGAATATAATAAATGAAATATAAAGAATTTAGAATAAAAATTAAATGAATTATCATAACAATATTCTTTATATCATTTGTAACTAACTAAATCATTAAATAATACATAATCATTCATTTGTAAATAATTTTAATGTTTTATTTCACTATTCTTTGAACTTAATTATTCTTATTTTAATTATTCATCTCTTATTAATTTTATTTATTGACTTTATGTACATTTAATTTCTTCATAATTGATATAGTTGTTATTTCTTTATTAAATAACTAATAGAATGTTTTTAGAATTGTAATATATAAATTATATCAAAACAAATAACAAGATAAATAAGTGATGATAAATAAAGATATATGAATAAAAATGATATTCAATTAATAATCTATTATTCTCTCTTCTCTTTATTCAATACTCGTATTAACATTAAATAAAAAATATTCAAAACATATCAAATCAAATGTTTAATTTCTATTCATCTTATTCATACAATGACAAAATATGATGAAATTAATAATAAAATAAGAAATAATAAATAAATAAAATGAACAATCAATAATAAAGAGTATTTATTGATAAATCAATATGTTTAATCAATCATCTAATAATGTTTTAATTGATAACACTACATATTTTATAATGAATCTGTTGATTATTACAAGATAAATTGTATTAAATATATTGTAGTTGTTAATAAAGAAATTGAAATAATATAAATTAAATAAGTAATAATTAATGAAATAATTACATTACATCAATTAATTAATATATAATTCAATAAAAACAATATAATTAATGAAATTACAAGTATTTAATATTAAAAACATCAAATTGTTTAATAAATGATAATTAATTTAATAACAAATCAAAAAGATCAATAACCTAATAAAATTAAGTTATAAACGAATAGTACAATAGAATTAGAAGATAATGAATAAAATAAAATAATCATTTCTCACTTTTCATAATTTCTAACTCTGAAAATATCTAATTATTAACATGTTTGTTATCAATATTTGAATTTAAGAAAATTAATATATTCTTAACCAATTTAATGTGATGATGAAAAGAATAATAAAATTAATGAAATAAATAATGAATAAACAACATTAATTAATTTATTGTTATTAATTTAGATTTACAAAATATCAATACTTGATAGTACATGATATGTTATTAGTTAATATGTTAATGTTTATCATACAAATAATAAAATAATTCATGAAATAAATGTAATTAAACATTATAATTATGTTTATATTGAAATTATAACATTTTATTCAATTTATTTGTTTTATACAAATTAATTTGATTGATAATGTTTTATATTAACAAGTGTATCAATAACATGATAAAAATTAATTTTATTTAATTAATCAAAAATATAATAAAATAAAATAAAATTCAATCAATCAAATATAAAGAGAAGCAGCAAAAATGATATCTCTCTTAATTAAAGTGATTCCTTCTTCAAATTTCTTTGCTAAATCAGGATTTCCCATAAATTTACTTGCATCAGTCATTTGAACTAAAAGTTCTTCTAATCTTCTCATTCCACGAATAATACTTCCTTCAAATAATTCACTTCCATGAATTAATTGAGCAAAAGTCATTCCATCACACCATGATTCAACAATTGGTAACATTGTTGGTCTAAATTGTTCAATATATTTATCAACATTAATATTTAATCGACAATCTGCCATAATATTTCCAATACGTCTAGCATTAGTAATAATAAGAGCAAAACTTTCTTCTAAATCTTTTGGAGGTTGAATTGATTCTTTTGGTTTTTCATCTAATACAAAACATCCTAATAAAGCAGTTGCTTGTTTTGAATTTAATGAACTAAATACTCCACTAAATAATAATTCTGTTAATAATATTTCATTTCCTGCTGAAAGTTCTGCAGCAACTCTTCCTTTAGTTTGAATAATATCATCTTCACTAACATATCCTAATCTTTTTAATACTCTTCTCATTCCTCTTAATTCATCTTTTAATATAACATCTTTTGATTGAATAACAGTATTTCTTAATACATTAATTTCTTCTCTAATATTTTCTCTTTCAACAAATTTATCAAATTCTTTTTTAATATTATCATTCCATTCAATTTCTTTCCATCTTTCTTCTAATTCTTTAACTTTTTTAATTGATTTTATAATATTTTCTTCTTTAATTTTCATATCATTAATAGGATCTAATACTGGTAATTTAAAATCTGGATATTTCTTTTTAATTGCATTATTAATTTTAAATAAAAATGTATCTAAATTATCTTTAACATTATCTGGTAATCCTAATCTTAATGTAGATATTTCTGAAATACATTCAATATTAAATGTTGTAATTCCTGCTTTTCCTCCTTTTCCTAATTCTTCTGGTGTTCTTTCTAATGCTCCTTTTTTTAATGAAACAATTACACTAATACTTCCTACTTTTCTTTTTTTATCTGCTATTATAGGAACCCAACCAAAATCAAATAATGTATTTTTATCAATAATATGAACTAATCTTCCATCAACTAAAAATGGTAATATTACTTTTTCTTGATAAATATTTTCATGAATATTTTCTTTATGTTGTTCAATAGCTAATTTAAGATGATATATTGGTTTTATAATATTTTCTTCTGTAAAAATATATGTTTTTTCTTTTTCTTCTAATTCTTTTAATTTCTTTTGTAATTCTGGTAATTTATTATTTGTTTGAAATTGTCTAAATGATTTACAAATTAATCCTTCTGGATCTGCTGCTTCTAATTTCATTAAATTTAAAACCATATTATATCCTAAATAAAATGATGATGTTAATGGATCTGCTTTCCCAAAAATCATATTTTTTAATACTGTTGGTTCTATTTTTTGATCTACCATTAAAATAACTGTTCCTTGTTCATCTTTTCCTCTTCTTCCTGCTCTTCCACTCATTTGAATATATTCTCCTGGTCTAAGATATCTAGTTTCTTTTCCATCATATTTTTTTACTTTAGTAAATACAACTGTTCTTGCTGGCATATTTAATCCCATAGCAAATGTTTCTGTTGCAAATAAACATTTTATTAATCCTTCTTGGAATAATATTTCAACTGTTTCTTTCATTATAGGTAATAATCCTGAATGATGCATTCCTACTCCTTTTAATAATAATGGAAGAAGTTCAGTTATTTGTTCTAATTTCCTATCTTCTGCATTTAAACATTGAATAGCATTATTAAATATTTTTCCAATTATTGTTTTCTCATCATCTGAAGTTAAATCCATTCTATTACATGTTTTTGCCATTATTTCAAGTTCTTTTCTATTAAATGAAAATATAATAACTGGTGCTAAATTATTTTTCATTATCATTGTAATAATTTTAATAACATCCGGTTTATTATTCATTTGTTTTCTTGTTGTTTTAATCCCAACTGCATCAAGTCCAAGTGTTGTTAATGCTTTATTAAATCCTTCTTCTCTAAATTTACATTCTTTATCAACAACTAAATAAATCCCATTTCCTCCTGCTGGAAAAAGATAATGACATAATGGTGTTGGTCTATAATCTGTATAAACAACATGACATACTTGTTTATGAATATTACTTATCCAACTTGCAAATTCAAATGCATTTGGTATTGTTGCTGATAAAAATACATAATGAACAGTATCTGGTAATAAAATAATTGATTCTTCCCAAACAACTCCTCTTTCTTTATCTCTCATATAATGAACTTCATCAAATATAACCCATGCTACTTCTCTCATAACATCATTCCCTCTATATAACATATTTCTAAGAATTTCTGTTGTCATAACAAGACATGATGCTTCTTCATTAATAGTAATATCTCCAGTTATTAATCCAACATCTGTAAATTGTTCTTGAAGATCTCTATATTTTTGATTAGATAATGCTTTAATTGGTGATGTATAAATTACTCTTTGATTATTTTTTAATGCACTAGCAATTGCATATTCTGCAACTGCAGTTTTTCCTGCTGAAGTATGTGCACTAACTAAAACACTTTCATTTTGACCAATACATGATATTGAAAGTCTTTGAAAATCATCTAATGTAAATGGATATGTTTTAGCTGGTTCTCTTGGATATTGTGGATTCAATGTTTGTTCTGTAGCTGTTTGTCCATCTGGTATTGCAACTTCATGTGTACATCCTTGATATTGTGCTTCAAGAATAGGTGTAGATTCTGGTCTTGGTAATAAATCTTTATATTTATCTTCAATAATTTTTCTTCGTTTCATTATATATTCATTAATTTCTTCTTCTTCTTTAATCTCATCTTTACTTTGAGTTTCTGGTTGAAGAAAGTCAAACATATCATCAACATTAGAAGTCATGTTTTTACTAATTAAACCAACTTAGTTGTTAGTTTATTGAATAAATAGGGTTTAATTTCCTTTTGTATTATCTTTTTGCTTTGACACTTTCTTTAAATTATATTATTGAAAAAAAAAAAAGAAATTAAAAAGGAATAAAATATAATAAATTTTATCTTTATTAACTTAATAAAGAAAAATTATACAAAACCAGTTGAATAAAATACAAAACAGATATGATTTTGTGATTAGTTTAGAAAGGAAAGAATTTTTAAATTATTTCCATTGGATTAAATTCATCACTATCAAATGTATTTGTTGTTTGTTTAGGTGGAAAATGAGAATATGTTAATTGATGATTTCTAATAAATGGTTCTTCTTCTTCAATGTCAATATTATTTAATTTATTTTTAATATTATTTAATCCTGGATTTTCTGATCTATTTGGAGAATCAGTAAATACATGTGGTATTTCAGAATCACCAACTGATTGAACTTGTTTCTTTTGATTATATTGAAGTATTGGCTCACTAATAGATAATCGTTTTGAATTGATTACAAGATTTTTTGAAATTGAGACTGGTCCATTTCCCAATCCACTTTTATTCATCCTGAAGATTTTTAGTTTTTTTTTTCTTTTTATTATTTTCAAATTAAAGATCTTTTCTTGTTATTTTGAATTGATTTTTTTTGTTTTAAATTTGTTTTTTATTTTCTACTTATATCTTATTCTTTTATTAATAATAAGTAAAAATGTTTTAATATAAATTCAAAAATGTTAAATAATTTTATAATTGAGAATTGAAAAAGATATAAGAAGAAAAGAAAGAATGATAATTTATAATAAACTTAATGATATTTCAAATTATAATATAGAAGAATATTAAATCTTTAAAATGTTTATTTCTTTTAGTATGGTTGAAGAGAAACTTCAATTTGATGATCAAATGTTTTTAATTTTTATAACAGGATTTATTGGAATAATTATAATAATTTGGATATTATATTTTATTCGTAAACAAAGAAGTATTCCTACAACTTTTCCATGTCAATGTTCTAAATGTCAAGAAAAGAGAAAAAGAATGATAACAAAGAATCAAAGAATTAATTTATCAACAATCTTTCAAGTTTGTTATTCATTATATTAAGATATATTATTATAATAACTTACAATATTTTAGTTTATCATTATTGGTATTTTAACATTTATTTTTATTCGTAATATAATTAAAATTAATTCATCAAAGATTATTATATCTCAACCAATTTTTGATCCTTATATTATTTTAGGTATTTCATCTTCATCAACTGATAAAGAAATTAGAAGTGCTTATCGTAAATTATCATTAAAATATCATCCAGACAAAAATAAAGAAGAAGGTGCTGAAGAAATGTTTATTCAAATAACAAAAGCATATGAAACATTAACTGATCCATCTAAATTAAAAGTATGGAAAGAAACAGGAAGAGAAGAAGGTGATAAATTAGAAACAAAAGGAATAGGACTTCCAATCTTTCTTACTTTAGAGAAGAATAGAAAATTTATATTAGGGTTTTATATAACTATTATAGTAATTATTTTTCCTGTAAGTGTATGGTTAATGATTAGAAAATACAATAAGAAAGATAATAATAATTTAACAATGGAAACTAATGCTATATTTATACAATTAATCAATTCTAATTTAAACTTCCCTTCAATGATTGAAGTTTTATCATTAGCAAATGAAGTAAGAGAAGTTGTTATTATTCGTCCAAATGATAAAAACTTTTTACCAGTTATTCAAAAGAAAATAAAAGAAGAATTTATAAAGAAACCAACTTATAATGTTCCTGAAGCTGTTAAAGCACAAATATTAATTGGAGCTCATTTATCTAGATTACATGAAGAACTTCCAAATTATCTTAGAGATGACTTAGATTCTATTCTTGAAGTTATTCCAACTGTACTTCATGGAATGGTATCTGTAATGATGGGAAAGAAAAATCTAAATGGAGTTTGGCAATGTATTAGATTAAATGCTATGATTACTCAAGCATGTGGAGAAAATGATGATTTCTTACAAATACCAGACTTTAATGAAGGAGGAAAAGTTTTTGGAAAGAATATGACATTTGAACGTATCACGAAAATGACTCCAGAAGAACGAATGAATTTAATTAATGAAAAAATTGATTGTATTGAAATAGAAAAACAACATAAAGTTATTGAACCAAAAAAACAACGAAGTGAAGTTAAGAAGAGAAATATAGAAAGTATGAAAGAAAAAGTTAAAAGAGCATTGGATGAAAAAGCTATTAAAGAAGGAAAAAAACCAAAATTTAATACTAAAGATATTAATGAACATAAATCAAAAGAGATAAAAGAAATTAATGAGAAACTTGAAAATAATATTGAAGAAAATATTAAACTCAATGATAATCAATTAATTAATGAAAGAAGAAAACAAATTATTAATTTCTTTAATTATTATCCTACTAATATTACTTTTATTGTTAGAGCAATGAGTATTACTGGAACAAGAAAAGTAATTTCAGGAATACCTATTCTTGTTACTATTAATGGATATCGTTATCCTAGAAATGAAAATGGTGAAATTATTCCACAATGGAAGAGTAAATTAGATGATATTCTTAATAGAGAAAAAGAAGAATTACCAGAAGAACCTGATGATGCTGAAGAACTTCTTAAAAGTACTAAAGAAGATTTTGATAAAGAAGAAAATGAAATTGATCCAGAAATCCCAGATGTAGAAATTGTTCATGAACCACCAAAAGATGTTTATGTTCATAATCCATATTGTCCTAATACTAGATTAGAACGTTGGTGGTTTATTATTACTGATGTAAGAAATCAAGTTGTTCTTAATGCTACACATGGATATATTCCTATTTCTGAATTACCATTTATCACAAAAATATATCTTCCTTCTCCTAAAGAAGAAGGAACATATGCTGTATTATTACATATTATTTGTGATTCATATCTTCATTGTGAATGGGCATATCCAATTAAATTCACTGTGATTCCTCGTCCTGTTAGAAAGAACAATAATCCACAACAAACAAATCAAAATGAGGAAGAAGAAGAAATGTCTGAAGAAGAAGGTGTAGAAGAAGAAGAAAGTGATAATTAATTAATTACAATATGTCTTTCTCTAACTATTTTTCGATTCTTTTTTTTCTCAATTCATCAATATAACATCTATCATTTATAATTTTAGTAAATGTAAGTGATTTGATTCATAAATTAATTTATTTTCAGTCTTATATTATTTTGTTGTTGAATACAATGAAAATTTAGAAGATTTATATGAAATGTTATTGCTTTGGGTTGTTTAGCAATAACCATAAATTATATTTTTGTTTGAAAAATGAATAACCGAAGAAAGAGCAAAAGTTCTATCACGTTTTAAAATAACAAAAGAATTATATAAATTGTAAAGTTAATAATAATAATGGCAACACCTACCTTTGATGAAAGAGGTTTAATGCTTGATGGAAAGTTATATGATAGTACAGTTCCAGAGTTAGCTCGTGAAAGAGAATCTTGTTGTGAGAAGATTATTGATTTTAATTGTGAAAGAAATGCACAAAAGAGATTAGAAATGCTGAAGGATATTGTTGGAAATCTTGGAGAAAATAGTTGTATACTTCCTCCATTTCGTTGTGACTATGGTAAATACATTTCTGTTGGTCATGATACATTTGTTAATTATAACCTAACAGTATTAGATGCTAACTACGTTAAAATAGGTAGTCATGTCTTGATTGGTCCTAACGTCCAACTTATTGCAGCTACTCATCCAACTGACCCCCTCATTAGAAATTCTCTGGTTGAATATGGACTTCCTATTGTAATTAAAGATGGTGCTTGGATTGGTGCAGGTGCAACTATTCTTCCAGGAATTACAATTGGAGAAAACTCCGTTGTAGGTGCTGCTTCTGTAGTTACTCGTGACGTTCCAGATAATACAATTGTTGCTGGTAATCCTGCAAGAGTTATCAGAAAAGTTTCAGAACATCCAGGGTGGACAAGAGAACAGCGAGATGTTCCATTGAACTAATTAAGAATAATTTATTTAATGCTCAAATAACTTTTTCTTGTTTTTTGTTTGTTATAACATAAATTATTATTTCTTCATGAAAAGAATAATCAAACAAATTAAAATTGATTAGTAATGACAATACGTTTATTCAAATAAATAAGTAATTAAATGCCAATGCAATAACTTAACTAAGTTCTGGATGACGTTCAATATAATCTTTTACATACCCAAATTTCATTACTTCTTCATCTTTTTTTAATTGAAGTTTTTTTCCTAATAGTTCTGGCTTACTTTTTCTGAAAGAATCAGCTTGGTTTAACATTTTGTCAACTTGTTCTCTTTGGTCATCTGTAAAGAAGTCCATGTTGAGAATAGCTTGAGATAAGACTTCAACTAATGCCTCTATTTAATATTAGTAATATAAGAAAATTTTGTAAAATAATTAAAAAACAACAAACTGAATTGAGATTTAATAACACAACACTCAAACGCCTTTTTGAGTAAGAAAAATGGAGTAGCAAATTTTCTTCCATTATCATCATCAAGACCATTTAATTCTTTTATCATTGAAATATAATTTGTTTTTGAATGTTTTGATGCACTAAAAATAATCTTAAGATCTCCAAGAGCTTTAATAAAACAACCTACGTCTTTAGGATCACAAATTTGAATTAAAATTTGAGTTGTATTTAACCCAGATTCATTTAAATAGCTTCTAAGTTCTTGTTGATTTGTAATATTATTTACTTGTGGTTGAGGAGTAATATCTTCAATTTTAGCAATAAGATCATTTAACTTGTTTAATTCTTCTCTATTAAAGATTTCAAATCTCGATATATCCTTTGATAATGAAAAAAAGCATTGAAGGTCTCTGCATTCTACTGGGTTGTTACAAAGACTATCTGAAACGACCCTTTTGAATAATTGATATAATGTTTCGTTTAATGTTTGAGTTAATTTTCTGTAATCAACTTTCTGAATATTAGGCATATTTTCTTTAATTTGTGTAACACATTTTTGAAGTTCCCATACAACTTCACCAAAAGGCTCTGGATATTTGTTGTCTTCAATCACATTTTCTAGTCGATTAGTTATTTCATCTGCAATAGTATTCATCTGAAGAGGTATCTCATCTTCTTTAATTTCATATCTTTCTTGCTTTAAAATGTTCCTTTGAGGTTCTATTGGATATATCGCATTACTATAAGGTTCATTTTTTATCGAAATTCCACTTAATAAAATACTTTGTGGTAATTGAAATCTTGCTGTATTTCTTTGTTCAGAAAAGTTATCTTCCCTCAAGAAGTCTGGAAGATCAGAATCGTCATTGTCTACGTTTTGATTAAACTCTGGAGATTCAGATGGGCTATATCTTTTCATTTTTATTTTCTGAATCTCCCTCTTTATTTATTCCAGTTTTTTTTTGTTTTTATTTTTTCTATTTTACAGTTTAAAAGGCAAAAATGAAAAGCTGAATACACGTCATTTTGAGAAAAAAAATTAAAAAAGATGAAAAAGAATAAAAAACTTAAGAGATAATTTAAAAAAAAATATTCCAAAAAGGTAAAAAATAGTTAAGAGATGAACTAAAAAAGGACTAATTAAAATAGATGGAGGAAAGTATTCATAATATTGAGCTCAAACAATTTGTCTTTGAAAAATATATGGACAATAGGACAGTTGCAGATAAGTATTTAATTGACTCAATAACAACAATTCAACAAAAAGGTAATGAGACACAAACAGAGGTTAGTACTTTAAACCAACGCCTTTCTCAATTAGAGACAAAGGTGATTCAACTAGAAGAAGAGAACAAAACACTGAAGGAAACAATGGAAAAACAAATAAAAGAAAGAAGTGATGAAATTGAAAAAATGAATCAACGATATTCCCTTTTAGACTCTATATTAAAAGACGTTGTCAAGAGTCTTGAAGAAATGAAAAGCCAAAACAAAAATACTTTAACGCCAGTTATTGAAAAAAAAGAAGGAAAAGAAATTACTGAAAAAATACAAAAAGAAGATAAAGAGTGTGAAACGAATGTTAATAATGAGATTGTATTTAAAAAAGATGAGTCAAATGAAAATGATGTTTTACAAAAGACATCACCTATCACTGAAACTGCTAAAACTCAAATCAAAGATGAAGAAAAACAAGAGATAGAAGTAGATGAATTAGAAGAAGAATTACCAATTGACAAAGAATTAAAGTCTCAAATAGAACAAATTAGTACAAAGAAAGTTATTGATGTTATTTATAAAGGAACTGAAGATGGGTTTAGTGCTGAAGAATTTAATAGATGTGTTGGAAGTTACAAGAATATATTGTTTGTTATTAAAACAACAAAAAATGAAGTATTTGGAGGTTATTGTAGTGATGTTCCTGTTGTAGATGATATAGCACGAGGAGTTTTTGGAGATAAAAACCATTTTGTATTTACTATAAAGAATAATGTCCCAATTAAATTTGTTAAAAGAGAAGTAAATTCTTATAGTACTTGGTTGTTCCCTGATGACTCAGAAAATATTCTTTGTTTTGCTGGTGCTTTTTTGATTAGCGGAAATTGTGGAGAGAATGAAGAAAGTAGATTGTCTGGTAATTTCAAGAGAGAATATGAAGATAATGGCCAAACAATTATTGACCATCAAAATTTCAGAGTTAGTGAATTCTTTGCTATTCAATTGGAATAAAGTTGATAAATGCTATTTATTCACAATAAAAAATAAACCATTTTACATCTAACCAAATTGAATTGATTTTTTTATTGTCCACTTTCGAATCCACGATTTAACATAGATGTTGATTGACTTAGCTGAATGGGTTGTGATGGAAAAGTTGGAACAATTACTTCATCATCTAATAATGTTCCTTCTCTACTATGAATAACCTTTTCTTCTGTTAAACTTGAAATTGGTTTTTGTTTTTCATGAAAAATATTTTGGGGTTGTGATTTTTGTTCATTTGGTTTTTTGTGTTGAGAGTGTTTCACTTTTGCAGATGGTAAGGAATGACGGTCAATAATTTCAAATTCGCTAGAATCTTCTTCTGAATCTCTATATTCTATTTGTTCTTTAATACGATGTAGTTCTTCACTTAACCTTTTTTGTGGTGATTCTGTTTTGTGAACATTTGGAATTGTTTGTTTTAATAAATCTTTTTGATTTATGTGATGGTGAGAGGTTTTTCTTTCTTGTTCTTTAAAGATTCCATTCCAAATCTGTTGTACTTTTTCTTTATTATCATTTACGAGTAATTTTTTTGGTTTAGTTGAGGTGGCTTTTGATGACGTCTCAACTTTGGTTTG